CAAATATTTTGTTACAGATTAAAATATTTAATAAATATTGGTTTGAAGGTATGAGAAAAATAATGGAAATATAAACTATTCCGTATAAATGTATCTTACATTTTCCAGGAAGGAAATTTAAAAAAATATTTTTTTAAATAACAAGTCTACACTGTTAAAAAAATCCATTTGCATAATATTATAAAAGACATTTTTAAAGAATTATTGTGAATGCTGTAAAATTAACATCTAACGAAACGTATGTGATAAATATAAAATGTTATAATTTATATTGTCAAAATCCCACTAACTAATAAAAATTACATAAGTACAATTATATATTGATTTTAAATTATATATTTGTGATTTTGACAGTGCTTTATAATTATTTACCAATTATAAATGAAAGAATGTAGCTTGGAATAATAATATCACCTAACGATGAAAGTTGCAAATGAAAAAATATAATTATATTTTATAAAATTTTTGTTCAGAAATAAATAACTAAATAAAATATATACCATTTAATATATTTGCTTTGGAAAAATTGAAATATCGTTTCAAACATAAGTTTTAATTTTAAGAACACCAAAACATCATAGTTCAAAAAATATAATATATATGGAAAAAAATATCGTTATTAAATCGGATTATAAATTATAGTAATATTATTCTCAATGAAATTAATATCCAAGTAGATTGCACTACATTTGTACTAATTAGGAGACTAACTATAAGTAAATTTCCCTTATATTGTCTGCGATGTTGTGTACGTTCAATTTTTTTTTAAATTAATCACCATCAAAAAATAAAAATAAAACTCATTTATCATCAAAAAACAAGTTAATAACCAGTCAGGTTTTCGAGCGCCTGACGTTTAAATTGATGTCGGCGGGGAGTATATAGTGGAAAAAATTACGGTAAAAATCCCTATCCACACGCACGTCAAAACAAAATATTAAACTCCTGCTCATCTATATATATATATATATATGTGTGTTATGGTATTTTTTTTAAGAGCGAGTGCTACAAAGCGAGGTTTTTATATGTTAATGATCATAATAGAAAAATAGAAAGAGACGCAAAAACTTAATAATACATATATGGCATATACGTATAGCCTCTAGTGGCCCTCTACGCATGTTACAAAAAGAAGAAGAAGAAAATATACAAATTTTCATCAAGTAAAATTAATAATAGTAGAAATGTAGCAATAATAAAATAAAATAGAATAGTATAGGAAAAAACCACAAAAACAAGTGTAAAGAAGTAAATCTGAAGAATAAACGTTTTAATTTTGTTTATTGTTGAATTATAGGTATATAGTAGAAAGTGCCGTAAAAGTAGTGAAACAAATAACAACAACAATGACGATTAAGAAGAAATGATACAATGACAAATAACAATATGTGTAAAATAAAAAAAATAGAGAGATAGAAATAGAAAATATAAAATTATAGGTAGAGAAGTTGCAACAGTCCACAACATTACACCACGGGATGCATTTTTTTATTTTGCTTACCTCCGTCCGAAACCGCTCTTCTTCCTTACAAAAATCACATTATTATAAAAGGTGGTAATAATATAATATACAATATATTGATTTGCATACAATATAATATACGTCTTGCAGGTTAGTCGTCGTAATGAAATATTCCAATATCGTTTATAACTGCAATAGCAATGTGTATCGTGTGGAAAAAACAGGTACCTGGACGCTTGGTTACGAGATTGGAATTTCAAAAGGGAGAGAATTCCGGAATAATATTTCAATCGCCACGATTGGCAAGTGGCAACCATACCTGGGTACCAAATATGATTTGTTAGCTCTGCACGAGCGAGGGCAAATCTTTCGGGCAATTTAATCCGACCAACACCGAATGCATTACGATACCGTATAATATTATTACACGGGCCAGAGGAGGTCGGTTGTTATTTCGAGGAGAGTATTTTATTTTTTCCTCTTATCATTCTTGTCTACGTTAAATCGTGGGACTCGCCAATCAATACTCGGGGAGAACCAATGTGTCGGCGAACATGTTATAAAGCTCGCTCGAATACATACGACGACGACGACGACACTCCTGTGAAAACACTGCGGTGGCGAGAAAATAACAACACGGGTGTTTGATAGTTTTCCGAACAATGTCCGGACATTCCCGGAAAGTTTACATTCAATTTGGCTTGCACCACACAGACGCTGCATAGGGTATAATATGTGAACGAAACGCGGTGGAGAGGACTGCGCCAGTGCACAACAATGTACATACACGGAGAAATCACCGTAATACAGTCACTTGCGAGCAGCGTCTTTTGTGTGCTCTGCGAAAGTTTTCAAACTTCTCTGATTCTATATGTAAACGAATTTTTTTTCATGTTCAATATCCTAATTATTTGGAAAAAAAGTCATAGCGATGAGCGCCTGTGCGTAGTTATTTTTGTAATAAAAATGTGAAAACTCGACTTGCAGCATACAATTAATACAAGATTATAGTATTATGAAACAGCAACGGCGGAAAGCAGTGTATTTGTTTTAGTATATTATTTTTTTTAGTGTAACTTGAAAACAGAAAAATAAATGATATATTTGTACACACTATTATAATCGAGTAGAAGTAGAATGTGTAATATGCCGTATCGCGATTGGTACCATACCGGTTTTGTGTGTGGTTTTTTTAAAGGTTGTTTTGTTTCATTGTTGTAATCAATTCATTTTTTTTTTTTTTTGGTTGCTCGACGATAAATAACCGAAATTTGACAGTCACGAGCTCCGACAATAATATTATTCTACTTTCGTCCGTTCAACCCCGTGTAGGGGTATGGATCATTTTTATTCTACGAAGGTTTTTAATAATTTTATTATTTTGTTATTATTATTTTTTTGTTTTTTTTTTTTTTTGTTTTCCCCGTCCGCCTGGGATTTAATCAGTCGAAATTCGTTTCGAAGCCGGCGGCGTCGGAGTGCTCGTTAACTGCACAATTCTATTGAAAACCCATTAACACCGATGTATAATCTGCGGCCGACCGAAATCATTCATTAAGCACCGGTGGCGGTGCCTCCGCTGATTTGTGGCGAATTGTAAATAATTACGCGTACTATCTCCTCTGGTCTCTATAGGCCTGTCCCTCTCATTTCCATCCACCCGTCATATCATCTTCATCGAAAAAACAAAATATTTAGTTTTATAGATTCTATTCCAATATATAAGAGTTGTAGATAATAGTATAATTTATAATTAGTATATTATTAACATTATCGTCGCCTCCTCCATCACTAGCTTTCGTACCATCGACCTTCTAATTACGAATTATTAATTTTTGTGAATCGTCAGCACCTCTCCTTTAGTAATTGGACGATTCAAATTCAAAATTTTGAATTTAATTATATTACAAGAGTCCTGTGATTTTATTATCTTATAATTTGTACGTCTCAGTTTTCTACCAATCCGTGAATAAATCTCGAAACCCGTAACCCAACGAGTTTCATATTGTCATTAGTTATTAGTGTTATTTCAGTATATTTTTTTATACAAGATTTCAATACAGAAATTGCGTTGCTGTACCTACCGCTAGTACGAATCATTTGAAAGTTTAATCAAAACCTACCTTTCGATATTGTATTTACTATTTACATTATATTTTATTCCCATTGAATGAAAATTTCAATTTATATCGATTTATATAAGTGTTGTAAGACGGAGTGTTTTAAAGTATAATCAATTTAAAAAACGACTAAAAATATATATAAATGGAATTTATTGAAGATAATATATTCATCATGTTTATGATTAAAATATGTAGGATTTTTTAATACCTGTGGTATTGTCAGGATACAATAATTGTTATATTCATTTTCAGATAAATCTATAAAAACAAACTTTTTTTTAGTTGTCCGAACGTTGTGGTTGTATTATACTCGAGGTTGATAAAACTGCATCTTTAGTCTTAAATAATAATTATTTTGAAACACTGATGCTGGGAAAGACGTCATCATTAACTCAAAAACTAATTAAAAATTAAAATCCCCGAAGGATAAAATCCAAACGATAAAGCGATGTCAGCTAAAATTTTATGTCAATAACAAAAAAAAGTAAGATGTCATAATTAATATAAGTTATTGGAAAAGAATAAACTGATAGACATAATATTATATTATATTTTCTCGTTAGGTTACAACTTTTCTCCAGAAAGTTTTTCAAGTAAATGTTTTTACATTATAGATACATATTAATAATACCTATACTCTTATTATTGATCACTATTTTCTGAACTTTATTCATATTGTTCTGCAATATTTTTATTTCCAAAAATCTAAAACATATTTTATTAAAATGTATTTCTGTACATAGGTAGTATACATTCCTGTAAATTAGTAAAATCGATTCGCGAGGGTCAACTGAAATGCATAAATAGAACCCCTGGGATGATCCACCTGTTCAGAATTTAAAAATTATTACTCGTTTTATACCTACGTATACGTACGTTGTACCTACATTTTGTTTTATACTCCCGGTGCGTTTTCACGAACGTTTTTATCCATAATTTAACTTCATTTTTATTTCATCCATTTCTAAGTTCGTTAAAATAATTTCCATGCACACACGTGTAATTTAAATGCATATTGCAAACGATGCGGTACCTAACCTAATCTACCTATACAGACATCACGATACATTCCAACCTTATAATGCATACTTTTTCAAAACGGACCTAAACCAAAACATTCGCGAGTTCCTGTAAATAGTTTTTAGGTATTCGAGTGTGCGATTTTTTTTTTGTCAAATTTAAAACAAAAACATGTAACAAAAATAACGTGATGACGATGGAAAACTATCAAACAAACCACCGGTGTATACTCCGATGACGCTAAACTTATTGTACTCGGTACACATTGGTTCATCCGTGGATTGTTGGGGGTGGAGGGTTGTGGCTTGGATTTTATACATGGATGGGAAGGGCGGGTGACGACTAGAGAGAAAAATATCTCAGGGTCATTTTTGAGATTTTGATCTTAAGTTATACTACACAGAGCGGTGGCGGACGGTGGTGTGCGACACGTTGAAAAATCGTACGTCACCGATAATGCCAGCCATGAGAGCGACCGGCGATAGTACGGTGGAACATTCTTCAGCCGAACCCTCGGCCAGCCGGGCGGCGGTTTCGTCTGTTCTCCTCATCAGTCCCAGTAGACAATACGGATCGCTATAACCTGACGACAACAACCAACGGGTCAACCAAACTAGCCCAAATCATATTATAATATTATCGTACAAGGAGCAGGTTATAATAATATGTATAATGTGATTGTGTACGCATCTATTATGACAGGTAATATTATAATACGCGTTGTCCATATCCATGAACTAGAGTCTAGTTACTATACCTATACAACATCCATGAGGAGTTGAAAAATACGAAATTACCATTATATCTAAAGATGCATGATAGTATAGTATAATGTATTAATATTGGCTAGGTACCTATATATTATATATATTGTGTACTGTACTTATGCATGCATAATTGTATTTAAAGTGTGATAACGTATATATAACAAAATAAGTATTGTTTTTTTTTATTATCATTCTCTTTCACTTTTTATTCCCTTAGTTTTTACCCCTCTTTGTTTATATTTATTTATCTCTTTCTGTCTTCCCCCGAACATTACCGACCGACGACCGAATAATGGAAAATCAAATAGTTTTTTGCATTGGACCGGAACGGATGTCTCGTGGAATGTTTAAAATATACAATCCAAAAGCGACTAAAATATACGTATACATGTTATTATAATATATAATATGTATAATATATATGTATATTGATCGACTAACCAACCGACCGACCAATAGCAGTAGCATTTTTGGGTAAAAACCGTCTCGTTTGATTTGTTAGAATGTTGGTATGTTAATAAGCATTTACTCAAAAAATATCTGTATTCAAGCATTATAGAAAAATATAACATTGAAAAAATATGCAAGTGACGGAATATTAGTAAAAAGATTTATGAATAAATGAATTATTTTTTTTAATTGCCTTATTATAGTTACAACATTTTTGTAAACTAATAGTTGAAGTTAATAACAATAAGTTTAATAGTTAACCTTAGCAGTTGAATCTGTAATATGCGAATACAAATAAAAATAAATTACAAAATAATACATAACAGTTAACTGTAATGTATAATTTTACATTTTATAATTTATAAAAGTGGTTTAATAAAAAAGCTAGATGATTTTAAGAAGGAAATTAAATTGGCTATAATAGGAAAGGAATACATGATCAACATAATATAAATTTTTCAGTTCTCAATATAGCTCTACTTTGGTTACAATATAATATTATAAGTATAGATATAGGTAGATATTAGTATCTTGTTGATTTTATATTTAAATATGTTAATCCTTATCAAAAGTTTTAAAAGTTAATATAAATTTACATGAAGTTATTATTAATTATATGTTTCCCACATATTTTACCACTATTTTCTGAACATAATATATTTTTTTAACCAGCATTTCATACTTTGGTTTTAAAAAAACTTTTAAAGTAATTTATTTATTGTTTATGTATAGTGTATAATAATATTCAACACATTTAGATTCAGGGAAAGTGGAAATATTACATTAAGACTAACAATTAATCAAAATATTTTATTTTTATTACTGGCATGAACATAGTTGGAAATAATTAAAAACTTGTCATTCAAGTTTGTGAAAAGATATGAATAAAATATCTATAAATAATAAGGACTAATGACGCTGAACAATATTTAAATAAATAATTGGCCTTTTGACAGTTATCGTTTTATCGAACAATCCAAAAGACTTTACAAATGGAGGTGTATAATGCCAATTGTTTACATTTGTATATTTTTCTGTACATGTGATCAGTGAACTCTATTTATTTAAATGTTTCCAATTCGAAAAACAAACACTTTATTTTTATTTTATTTATAAGGAGAACAAGTTTCCGCATGAGTCCTGATGACTTTGAAATATGTCTCGATAAAATAATGTTTATAGTAGGCAAGTCGTTGACACAAATAACATGCAAAATATGTATTATACTATATTTTTAATGATCATGAAAATGTTTGTTTAAATGAAGTGTTAACTAAAAATCATGCTATGACGTAAACATTGTCAATAAATTCGTTTATTTTATACCTAATATAATATAAAATGTCTATAATTTGTGTTGGGTATTTGTAAAGGAGTAATTAATTATAATAATAATAATAATATGTCACGTTATTAACGAGGCGAGAATTTTCAAATAGGTACACACGTCTTGAAATAATTACAGAACATTGTTCAAATGATGCCAATAATAATTGATCATGAGCAGTTTTCACCGTCACCGTAAACCGTAAACGTCAACACGAACTTGAGGGCGAAACGCGTTTAGCGTGTTTTCTATCAACCTATGCTTGAAGTCCTTCCACGCCACTGCCGTGACATTGGAGTCAATCAATCACGCTTGAGCGGAACGGTTAAGTACGTTACATCGTAAATATTAAAGTAGCAGAAAACTGTATAAATGAAATTCCTGGCAAATGAGATCATCAGTCTGTTGGAGTGGTGACGGGTGGCGATGGGGAGGGGAGGAGAGGTGATATCTTTTGACGTGCATTATACAAGATTGTGTTAGACTTCGGCGTGAAAAGAATTACAGTTTATTGGAATATCAATCAATTTTTAATTCGCGAATACCTTTTTACCAATGTACCGACACGCCAAATATAATATTATAAAATAGACGTTATGCATTTTAGCCAACAATATAAACTGATGGGATGTTTACTATAATATTATTATTATATTATAGTTTTGAACAATAAAACAATATTTTTGTAGGTGAATTTATTATTATTGAAGATTTATTGTACACCGGTACTGCACATGCAAGTTTGTAACTTTTAAATTTTCATGTTATCAAATTTTATTTTTAACCATATTCGCATCATTAAAAGTTTTTTTTTTTTAAATTGGTGCACATTTCAAAAATCATAAATAGCTTTAAGTATAATATATTATGTTGCGATCGAAAAAATATTTTACGATAATTTTTCTACAAAAAAATAACATAATATATTTGTATTAAAAAAATTTTTTGTGTAACGAACTTGTTAAGATGTTTGCTTGTAGAATAAATTGTACTATACAAAAAGGCTAAATATAAATTTATCTCATACAGATTAAAGATAAATTGTTATTGTAATTGGATGAATTTAATCAGGTAAGAATTCGATCTGGAGTCGTGTAACAGTTGTGATTATACAGGAAATGGGATAGTGTCCATTAATCACACGCTTCAAAAAATGCAGGAAATTAAATTTTCCCCCTTTTTACTAAATATACTTGTACACAAAATTAAATTTCATGACTTTTATTTCAATGAAACTTCGTTGGCTTTTGATCGAACCCATTTATTACTGTTTGTAACTACTCTTTTTTACTGTGTTAATTTTTCTCATTACATTTCACTTTTATTTTTTAACTCATTTATCTCAAATAAACGTTTTGTAACTCGAATTCATACCAAGTGAGTGTCGTGAAATTTTAATCAACAAATCGGAAACCCTGGTTTCCTAGTTATTCCGTGAGGTCGACCTGTCATTTTAAAAGTAAATATTATTTCAGAATAAAATTATTTATTAGGAAAATATTATTATAATTTATAAAATATTTATCTTTAAAGTATATATAAATAAATAAATAAATATGTATATAATAAGTATAATTTATCATCAACAAATTAGAATTGAGATAAATTGATATATAAGGTATTGCATCAGATAAAAGATATACAAAATATTAATCTTACTCTTGAATCGCTTCAAAATAAACATATAGTACTTCAACTACTGTGGTTAACTTTTTTAACTAAAAAAAATTTGTTTAACATTTATATTAGAAAAACTAAAAAAATTGTAAAAAGGTTAGATAATGCATTATATATTTAGCTCTGATGTTGCTTAAATATTTCTTTTTTCTATATTTATTTTTAGTTTTTCTGGATTATTTTTAAAAGCACTAGGAGTTTTTAACTTACTAACTAGATCTAATTTTCTAAACTTTCTACTGAAAACTACTCTCAAAGTTAAATATTGTATCATTTTTATTCCTACAAAATGTGATGACCGAAAACAAAATATAAATAAATACTCATCATTTCAAAACAAATATATTCATAGCTCCGATCAGAATCTAAAAACTTGACAGGATATATAGATAACAGGTAGGAATAATATGACCACCTTGCTTCGCTTACCTCTGCATAGAATATCAGTGCATTAATATTTCTATAAACTGGAAATAAAATGATTAAGTATCGCATTCGATAAAACAATTATTTTAATTGAAGTAATTTTTTAAATAAAACGGTTTTTAAAAGTTATCTTGTTCATAAAATAATTAATCATTTACACTGAATAAAAAAAACAACTAAACATTTATTTACGAATATTGAAGTCATGATGCAGAACAAATGTATGCGTAACATATATATTAGGAATTCGCTTCTTCTAAATAGTTTTATATTTAATGATATGTTAGGTCAACTAAGAGCTAAATGTTGGTATCCTAGCAAACCCTTCCTTTAAAAGTTTGATAACAACTTTAATCCATAATGAGATTAGGATGAAGAATATTAAATATTGCATCGTTCAAAACATGACCTAATTTTAAGTATTTATTTTTGTGGTTTCTATGGTAGATATAGTAAATGTAGTTACAAATTATTTTTACCACAAACGAGAATTGTTTAACTAATTTATACTTTAGAAAACTTCATAATTACATACTATAATATGATAGGCATATTCCGAGTTCGAATACGCAGACGTGTATGATAGGTACCTAACTGTTATAAATATTTTACACGTTCATATTATATGGAGAATAGAATGATTATAAGACAGTCATGTCCCTTATTTAGCAAAATTCCAACAGGACATTTTTTTTCCAAGTTGTTTCGTTTCAACGCCCATTTTTGTATGTGGTTATTAAAGAAAATACAGAAAATATTTTTATTTCAGGTGACAAAAATAACATTTAAATGACTTTAATATAGAGCTGTACATATTTTGACTTTGGGAGCAGATGATCAAAGGGGTACATTTAAAATGCAGTTTACCTATCTGTATAATTTAACTTTTTTAATATAAAATTGAAATGAATCAGTGTAAAATTATGTTTAAAAACCATTTTAATTGAAATTTAGTTTTATGGAAAGAATACTATTTTCATGTCACCCATTTTAAAAACACTAGGTGTATACCGATGTCGTCCAACCAAGCGCCGTCTTATGCTAATATTACAATAAAAAAAAAGGTAATTCAAACTGAATTCGAATTAGCGATTAAATTATATTTTTAATCTCTGTCTGTTGTTTTAAATCACATTTCACAATACTGACATATTGTAACCGGCATAGGGTACACCGAACCACCCACGAGCGTGTATCCACATTATGTCATCAACATACTTCCGGAACAACTTAGTCGTGAAAGGTGAGTACTGTTATACGATCTAAGTTTTTATTTTCCAACTTACCATTAGCGTCTTTCGCCTCCAGGCCTTCAGCTTCGACCACCGTCACATGAAGCACCACTATGGGAGGCTAAAGAACAAAAAGCAAAATGTATTGTTAAAGGAAAAATATAAGAATAATGTCATTACAATACACAATATCTTTTGTACATTTTCAACGTAATAATGATGGCGAAAAGGTTTTCTGGCGGTGCGGTGGTAACGCGTAAAGTCGATAACGAGATGTGTTGAGCTCTATAATACTATATTATATAATAGGGAAAACGGGGACATTTGAAGATTCGTGTCTCAGGAGTTCAGATTCCCTCATTAAACTTGTACAAAATATACCGGGTTCTTACAATAAAATACTAGAGACTACGTGTCGACCGTTTCCCGTCCAGTCAATCCGAAAAGGCGTATAATGCATATTTTGATTCACGTATAATATAAACACATATAAAAAAAAACAACACACAATTATTATTACAATTTCATCCCCCTTGTCCTGGCTTAATTATATACAATAGGTACATCATATCATTATTACAAGTACCTACACAGATATTATTACTGTGGTATATTTACTATGGATAAAATTATATGTTTTATATGTTTTATTGCTTTGAGCTTTGAGAACCTTAAATTCAAAAATAATATTTTGGACGAATTGAGTCATAAATATAAACAAATAATGCTAGGGTCAAACGAGGTGTTATTATATTCTGATATTTTTATTCCCAGCACGGCCTAACTAGCTTGTCAAATAATCTTATATAGTCCAAGAAAAACAACTTGCTATAAATATGATTATAATATTATGGTGGTAATTCAGTTATCACGCTATGATGTTCAACATTTTGTATTTATTTTATTCAGATGAGTGATGACTAAAAGTATACGTACTACAATATTTTAAGTATAAATATGTTTTTCGAAAATTTATTATATATTATATTTTATTATATTGACAGAAACGTACTCAACCAAACTAACAACGTAATGTACAATGTCAAAAACATCATAATGGAGATGCGTAACAGTAGTAAATTGTTTATTTATGTTATTTTGTAATATTGTTACTTTTGGTATATTCATATTTAGAATTATTACTATAAGAGATATTAATTGGTGCATAAATTATTGTGGATTAAATAAAGTAGGTATTTAAAATCATTTTGGCATGGACTGAAAATACTATGTGTGACAGATGAGCGTGAACGTGATAGCCTTTATGAACGCCCCCCTGACCGGTATATTGTCCTTACTTCTTTTTTTTTTCGAACAAAAATTCATATTTACAATCTGTATTTACAAGTTATACAATAAGTAAATTTGATGTGGTTTGATTGACAAATCGAAAACCATGCTGGAAAATCGTTAAATATAATTTTAGGAAATTTTTGTTTGAAGGTAGTACAGCCCAATTCGGTATTTTAATGCAGATTTAACATAGTTACAGGTGTATGCAGTGGAGTATTTATTATGGGAGGGGAGGATCAAGGGAATCAATCCCCCCTTTGGCTGTATATAGTATGCAAAAGTTTTGGGAGTACTAAGTCCTAACTTAAGGTCTCTAACTTTAAATGCGGGGCTACTGGATAAAATCGTATCCTCCCTCCCCAAGAAAAAAACCTAAATACTCCACGGGCTGTACGTACATAGATGTATTTTATTAGACACTATTTGAATACGTCGTATGTATAGAGTATATCTAATAATTAGAGACTTTATGTTTATCTTTATGATCCAGTAATTTAAAACATCACCCAGAATATGCCTTCTATATTTTTACACTCTTCGAAGCATAAACATAACGTTCTAAATTTTGGAATATTAAATTTAAACAATGTAATTTATGTGATAATCTCAACTTTTGTATTGATAATATATTTGGTTTATTGTTAATCTACTAGTATAATTTGAGCTTTATGAAAAATATTTATGAAAAACATAGCTTATTAGATTATGTTACTACACGGATTAATGGAATATCTAATAATTTATATTATTAATGGAAAAACATCTATCATGGAATACGATGTAGTTAGAATATAAAACAAAATAACGAAATTCGATAAGTGTTATGGATAAAATCAATTATTTTACATACAAAATGTATCAAGTAATGAATTTGTGTATGCAATAAAGAAGCTATAACGTCAAATATTCCTTATAAATGTCTTGAACTAAATCATAAAATAAAATAAAAGCTTTTAAGCACTATAAGCTTTGTTCAGAAAATTTGGAATCCATTCCAAGCACGTACGTTTAGGAATTTAGTACCCATTTTACACTCCAATTAAAATGCCTCGTTTTCAGAGGTTTTTTTTTTATCGAAGATTTCGTCAATGATAGTAAGTTCAGGCTGTAGGGTACTGCTTTCCGGTGGCAATTAATGTTCTCAACTCGGACATGATTGTAAAGTTTTACCATTCAGAAATAATAATAAAATAATGCCGAAAGAAACAAAAATTACTTTTTCCTCGTGCACGATGGCCATATAACGTCTGTGCTGCTCGGGTGTGACATCGAATGCTTTTTGTGCGTAAACGTATAGTTGATCTCGATGTGCACTCAGTTCTGTATCAGCGCCAACTTTGTACTTTATTGTATACAAAACATCCATGTATAAGTTTTCCATCTATGATAAAACACCAAATAATAAGACAGTAGTTAGTTTAATTGAATTTGTGTGTTATATTTTGGCAATCAAAATAATATATACGTATCTCTACTATGTAATAGTTGCAATAGTATATATTATGTTTGCAATAATATTCGATGGTGAAACATACAAAAAGATGGTATATAACGATATAATATAACGATACATAACGACGATATATATCTGCAGTGCAATATGGTAAAGAAACTGCGAAAAACAGTGGTTTCCATTGTAAATGATTTATATTTTCAAAATTTCACTTTTAACCAAATATTTGAACTGTCAAAACTAATATTATCACACAAAGTTTAAAAAACAAATAAAATTTAAAAAAAATAGTAGGTACCTACTCGTGTTTAGTTTTTAATTTTGAGCTACTAGTTAATGTAATAATGTTTATTCATACCACTTAAACTAACTAATTTTACATTTTCTTAATTTAAGTTATACAACAATAAACAAAAGCTAACTCAAATACATTGAACCAAAACTTTTGATTTATTATTTTCTGTTAAATGTCAGTCTGTGGGTTTGTCTGAATGTGTTGCTTTTATCGTTTTTAATTATTATTTATAGTCAGCATCTTATAGTTTAAAAAGTTTTACATTTTATGTCTTCAAAGTTTTCTTTTTAAATCAATTAAATTCAAAAAAAATTGTACATATTTTTAACTAGAAATTGGTTGGGTTTATACAAGCATAGAACGTTAATATAGATTTTTGAATAAGTAAGTTGTAAATTGTAAGCTACATAATGTATACTTATCAGTAAATAAAAATAGTAAATTAAATGAAAACATAATTAAAATATAAAAAAAATATGTAATATGCATTTTAAATATAAAAATATTAAAAAATTAAAAAATTCGTACTTTGAATAACTGCAGTCTGCAGTATTGAAGAGGAAAAAGGTTGTAATCATTAGTTATCATAATTAATTTAGTTCAAATCACCTTGCTACTAAATACTAATTAAGTTAATGAAAATATAAATGTTTTTGTACCTAATGGTTTAGTTTAATTTAAGCACCAGAAAACTTGTATTTAAAATGTATTAATCAGTAATTCTACATTTCTACTTATTAATATATGCGTAATGCAGCAGTGAAAACTGAAAATATGTTATAAAAATAACTCATATTTGCACGCTGGAACTAAAGATGAGAGGTGATTTAAAATACTGTCACATTTTATAAGTTGTTTATAGTGGATAATTCGCACTTAACTCGTAATATTCAAGTACTAGACCTTAAAATAAGGTTTTTTCTTAAATCGTGTATATTGTGATTATGGTGAAAATAGAGATTTTTCATTTACAGCACATCGTCGTTTTAATTCGTTCGTGTATATTTTTCGACACGTCAAACCAGATCACGCCAAAGTGCTTTTCCTTGTGAAATCCAAAGAAACGCCTCTGATCCGTCTAAGAAGAAAACTTTTTAACTAATCCGGTAGATCATTAGCCATTTTAAGACGTGCACCCACCTATTAATGATATTATATAAGAAAAATATTTTTCTACACCCAAATAAAAGTGTAACAATTATTTTGTGTGCTGTTTATTTATCCAAGATGAGATTCAGCGATAGAATATTAGTTGAGGTGGGTACAGGGTAGATACTCATTTATTTTTAACAAATGTGTAATACACTAAAATAATATACCTAGTCTTTTGTATTTATTTGTATTAATATTTGTACTTACTTTCAACATTAACATATTCCTATTTGACCATGGGAGACTTGAGTTTATTTTTAACGTTTAAACGATCGTTTTATCAGTATCAGTAGCTTGCTAATTGTTTACAACAACAAATTATCGAAACAAAACCTAATGTGTATTGAACTAGTTGCTCCAACAGACATCCAATCTTAACGTTTTACACTATAAGGCAACTCACGTTTTGTATAGAGAATTTTATCACGTTTTTAAACCACATTTTTTTTTTCCAGAGCCAATACAGTCTCTGAATGCTTCCAAGACGTGCTATTATTATTGGTATCGAATATCAATGTGCATTGCAATTTGCAGCCAATTTCAAATCAACCCTCTCAAAAACACGTCGTGTCTGTGTTATTTGTACAAATATTGACCCACGAGCACCCGTTATTATTATAACGTTCTTTTAAGAATATAACATATCTTTTGGCACATACGATACGACATCGTATTTTTTTATCGTAATTTTTTCTTACTGGAATATTATACATTCCTGTGCGCCCTACTAATACTCCAAACTGTTATGTTTCTTTTTTAATTTACCATACCCTTATCGTTCTAGTTATTTTATTCACACGAAAATATACGATTATTGTGTAACCGAATTACCTCTTTTGGTTGAATACTAGAAACGGGTGGTGGTATCACTCCGACGCTGTGTTCGGGTGGAGGACACTCATCTTGCCGACTGTCTTTGATCATTTGCAATCGTCTCTGATCCAATTTCCATTGTAAGCTGCTATATTTCTCGAAAAACGAACCATCGGTGTCATGTACACTGTTGAAAAATTAAAGATCGTTAAAAAATGGTAAAAATAATAACCTAGTTGGAAAGTGTAAACATTTAATTTTTCCAGTAATTTAAAAAATGTCAAAAATGTTGTTTACAGAAACTATAGAGAAGTCAAATTTGATTCATTAGAGTACGGTTACATTATGTGTAGGTATGGAGAACAAAAATAAATACATATTTTGTTGTGACATCATATATTTATTCTGTTGTAGGTATATATTTTATAATAAACATGTTATGCAATATGTTTGTTGTAAATATAATTATTGACAACTTGGGGGGGAGCGGGGATTCTATTTGGTCAACTAAATTTTAAATAAGTATTGTATTCATAGGCTATTCTATTTCTGGTCAGGTGGTACTGCTGGGAGCCTTCCAATAATGTTATTTTATATCTAATGTTCTTATGTCACCACACTTACTCATTATACCTTGTCTGTTGTATAGATTGTAAATATACTTTTTAAAATAAATAAAAAAAAGGCTATTTTTAAAGTTTGAATCTAAAAATGGTAACTTATATAGTAAACTTTAAACATATTAATATAGTGGTTATTTTTACGTGGATATGAAGTATGAACCAATAATAACCTCTGAAATAAACCTTGACCATTATTCTGGAAGTTGAAAAATTAACTACAAGACATTGTAATATGCTTATCCCACATCAAATTAAATATCATTGAATATAACAGAAATATATGTTTTAATATAGGTATTGTTGTTTCTTTTCAAAAAAACATTTTGCTTAAATTCATATTAATTTAATGACATCGGTCTGAGGTCCGATTGCTGCTTTTACGTAATATATACATTAATTGTTATTTATGTAACAAGCTAGTGGGTACAGTAGAATAACGATAAGTTTAAAATTTAAATAAAAAAATATGGTCAAAATAAACTGTAAAAAGACGACCAGAATAATGGAAAATATAAATATGTATAGGTCAGTGTCTGTTTTTTCTATTGTACATTCAGAATATCGTCAGTTTTAGTTCTGCGATTGCCTGGATCCACTATCAACTGCAGCTATTTCCGTATAATCACCTGATAGCTTAATATTTTTCGTTTTCTTCCATATAAAATTATTAAGTCTGCAAATATTGCTAATTTAGAATTTTAATATGTCAAGCAAATCGTAATAGTCTAGATACCTCTACGAGAGACGATAATGAAATGATTTCTACCTCGGTGAACGTCTCGCCATGAAAAAAAAACTCTTTATACCGTTCCCATAATAATAAATAATAATATATAGATAAATGATTATAATATAATTTTTTTATTTTTATATTTCTACTATACGTTCGCTCAAGAATAAGATGTGCATTATTGGTTATATGAACCTATGTATATAATAGAAACCACAGTGTACTGCCAAGCCGGGTATAATGCATATTATTATACTTGCAGCTTATTAAACATACATATTGTATAAGCATAATGTTTTATCGACTTTTATTAAAAAAAAAAATTTCGTCGGTATACAGGGGAATTAAACAGTATATAGACGAATACGATGTCGTGAAGGGGATGCAGAGGAGTTTGGAAATATTAGGTCAGAGTATTAATACTTTGTCTTCATCCGTCAGCTTTGGGGGTAAAATATTAGATCGCACCCTCGAGCTTTGTATACGTACTCGCGTGTCTGCGGTCTGTGGGCGTGGCGTGTGCACCGAATAGGTCGGGACTTAATATTATGTATAATAATAATATGCAAGTACGTGTGAATTATATATCCACGTTCTATGTCTGTATCATTTCATATTAAATTGTTATATATTATTACGTATTCCATTGTTAGCGACACTATGAACGCACGCGCCAAACAATTACTATACACAGCCGGATTTCGGCGATTACGAATTCAGTTTGTGTACCACGTTAAGTTTATCACCACTGCCGAGTATTGCGACTCTTCCGCCAAACCAAATCTCCGTCGGTGAAGCATCCGAAACGAAGCCGACATAAGGTAGGTAGGTAGGTAGGTAGGAACTATAGATATCGAGTAGGTTAACCTATAGGCAAAGTCGTGCAAGTTAATACAAATAATTGACTCCAGTAATTGAACGCATGGCTGTTAAGTTAGAAATAAGAAGCTAATTAAAATAATAATATATTACACTCGTTAAGATCTTAAAGTTAATATGAAAATAATATTAACACAAATAAGTACAAAAAAAAGTTTATCTACTTTTTCAACTAGTAGGTAAATCATTTTATAAAGAGTATTTTGTACTTACCTATCTATATAATGAATAGATAATATTATTTTATCAAGAAACATAACAGAAATTATATTGTTGTTATAGTATTAAATTTCTTGTATTTAAAACTGTGTAACAGCTAGTAATTCGTGTAAAAAACACCATTAAAACCAAACATTTCTAATTTTAACTTTATGGATTAATTTTAAATAAATGAAAAAAATGCCAAGTTATTCAATATTAAATTAAACTACCTACCTATTTAAATTCATAAGTTAGTTAGAAAATTAACAAACTAGTTAATAGAAGCTTAATCAAAAAATACTTCAACCTTAGTTAATACATTTGCATATTATTGTGCCTACACTTTTTTTTTTGTCAGCAATAGGACTACATACTTTGTTTTTTTCCCGTATACAACACGCTTTCTTGTCAACAAGAAGTCATATCGTGTTGCGAATACATATCCATTTTTTTTACAAATCGTATAACATCCTGGAGATTATACAATAATGTTGTAATTTAGATGTTTTGCGAATGATGAAATTGGAAAAAGAAGTTCAAATGCTCAATCGACCACTCCTAAATATTCATATATTTTGTTAATAAGTACCTAGTCAATTGTTTACTGCCTAAATTTAATATTATTTTGTATATCTGTAAGTATTATGTTGTGTGTTTCATAATGTATACAAAGAGTTTGTCCAGTGAATTTATAGTAAATAAACGAATAAAATAATTTCAACTATGTTGACCAATGTCGTCATAGTTTGAATTTCAAACTCTCATAAACAATTATTGTGGCTTTACGCTCAACGTTCTTAAACAAAACATGGAAAAGTTCTGAAAAATTTATTTTTACATTTTAGTTTATGTTTAGATAGACCTATAATAAAGCTATTAAAAATATGTATGCATATTATAAATCATTTGTATGCGACATTAATACATTATAGTTAGGTACTTCAACGCTGTCCCAAATATTTGAAACGATGAATACTGGGTACTATTATAATACTATATAGACAATATACTAATTAAGTTATCTAACAACTCAAGTTCACTATTGTAATATTTTACAAATTCAGTTGATTTAAGTTTTATTTTTTGAATAAAAATGTAATTTTGGTTAAGCCCATACCTTGTTTGGATATAATATAATTTGACAAATGTTTAAGTTAAAACACGGGTCAAACGCAGGTCGACGGTCTTAGGATGTATATGAAAGGAAAAGTGACAGGAGTATAATTTTGTTAGGTAAGAGATTGACATTTTTCTACTTTTTTTTCTTCAAAATCATTGTCCAAGCATAAATATGACGAATAAGTATAATTGTTTAGGTCATTTCTAACCTTATTTTATACGCTTATTTCTTCAATTTTATTTTTTAGTGCCTTAAAACCCATTGTACAATCAGCAAGAATAAATTGAAATTTCCAATTCTGTGTTTAATATTATTAATTAATGACAATAATATTATTATCAGCGTCGCGGTTAACTCGCTGGGTGTTGACGATGTGATCACCACTGCAACAAGTGCATAATAAGTACAGCCGTTAAATGGTAGGTTCCTATATAACTACGTGTCAGCGCGTATGTACGCTTGTAAACGGATATACGTCATTTCGTCGCGGTAATTTTGTCGCACGTCAATTCGTCGCGGTCAATTGGTCGCAAGACAATTGGACGCATACGACATTTCGTCGCGTGTAATATCGACGCATGCTACATTTGGTCGCGCGTCATTTTATCGCATATAGGTATATTCTAAATAATAATAATAATTTTACATATCAGTCATTTTAGCTTATTGTTATATCTATATATATAAAAATGGAGACAAAAAATTCGAAATTGCATCAGTTGAGAACGGCTGGGCCGATTTTGCTCAAATCTTTTTTAAATGATAGAGAATGTCGGAGAGCGAGTTTTTACGAAAGAAAATTTTTAAAATGTCAACCGAATAATTAGAAAAACTGCAAAAACTATTTATTGATGTCTGGAATTTGAACTCGATACCGTTGTCTTTATTTACTCTATGGTGTATTATATTATATTGGTTGCTATTGGTTAATCGGGCATGTTTGTTGATTTGTATTATTATTTTTTGTCAATATATCTTATATATGAATGAATGATTGTGTGTAGATTAGATCTATGGGAAGAAGATACGCTAATTTAAATAGGGTTAAATTTGGTTTTTTTTATTCATCGGATTTTAGTACGGTTAGGTTAGGTTAGGATTTATAGGTAGGTGGAATTAAGTAAAAACGTTAAACTTGGTATAACTTTGGTACTTTTTGAGTTAAATCATACACTTACGTACAAACAGCACGGGGTCCACGATCTACCACAGGTAGATTGCCTACCTGATAATATACTGCTGCGAAACAGAATTTTTATTCCGGGCAACAGAAAAGTTAAGATAAATCTATAACATCATACACCGAATATTAAATAACGCATTGAACAATGTTTGAGTCATATAGAGTTGGTACATTTAACGGGAAACGAAGTGCAGGGGATCAGCTAGTATATTGGTATTTTTTCACCTCATGAATTAAAAGATCATGCCCTCGTTGACTTTTTATAAATTGTAAAGGCATAATTTTTATATTTTGTAAAATATATAGTAATTGTTATATTGCGTGGACCAAGCAAGACGTATATATACGTAGACGTGTATAGGTGGTACTGTATAACACTATAATCGGTAGAGAGTAGAGACTCGTGATGACTGATGAGTAGGTACACTGTAATAATTCGAATATTCGATAA